AAAATCCTTTCCACGGTTGGGGGTAGTGTCAGCCAATAGGCGCCAAAAGGGCCCAAGCAGTCCAATCACGTGGAATCTTATCTGTGATCTCCAGTGTGCCTCAGCTACCGAGCATCCCACAGTGCACAAACGAGCTAACAAGAGGCTCGGAGATGACCATCTTGCGACCAATAGGCAAGACGGCTGATACTACTCCAACTATTCAGAAGGCACTGCGCTTGAGGCACAGCTACTTTGAAGCCAGTATCTGGTATTCAGAGAAAAATATACTTAGGTTACAAAAATGTGTGGTTGCTTGAACTTCTTACAAGCGAAAAGAAGAATACATCGTCACCTTGGCAAGCAAAAGCAGACATACACACACAACGCCATTGAGCTGAAGCAGGCAACAAAGGGGTCTTGCATTCTCGTGGGCGAAAGCGGCTGGACAGCAGCTCGCACAGATAAAAGAGCTCAAGGCAAGTAGGTGCGGGCACTTTGATCTCGCTTTTGCGAGGCAGCAAGTTGTCTGGTGGATGTAGTCAGGCCCCTTTTGGTAAATCCAGGTATTGTGGATTCGAGGCGCTGTAAGGCAGAGTTTGAGCGGCGCTGGAGGTGTCTGTGCGCAGAAAAAAGGGGGGGAAAAGCCGCGCCCGTCTGTATGCAAAAAGTAGTAACCCTCTGACTCTTGTAGTCACTTCCAGTAGCCTCAGAAAAAGTCCGAGCGGTAGCTCAAATCACATTGTCGGTTTGGCCGAGTGGTTAAGGCGACAGACTAGAATGGTGCAGTAATGCCCAAAGCCATCTGTTGGGGTTTCCCCGCACAGGTTCAAATCCTGTAGCCGACGCAATATGATTTCCATTTTTTGCCCATCTTAGCTCTGGCGCTCGCGTTGTTCAACAGCGCACTGTGGCAGCTTTTTTGCTCGCATGGACACAAGCGCCAACCAGCATGCTTGGGCCATGGCAGCAATGTGGCTTTCCGTATTTGCCTACAAAAGCAAGCAAACATGCTTTCTCTTGCTAGGGCAGCGGTCACAGACTAACCCCGCCTTGCTCTAGCTAGAACAGCGGCCACTTGAAACACGCAGTATTTGTATGTATTTCGCAATGTCCCCAGAAAAGAAGGCGACATCATTCGAGTTTGTTCTCATGCAAGATCGTCAAGTGCAGCAAGTACTGCCCAGCTGTCGCTATGCAACTGCTTTTTCCCCCCCCCCCCCATTTATTGGCACCAGCACGACTAGCAGACTGCTAACAATGCAAAATACAGAATCCGCATTTGGACGAGTGTCCCTTGAAACCTAAAAAGGAGGGAGGGATGGCAGTAGGCATAATCATTGACTACCGCCTGGCTGAAAAATAAAACGAGCAAACATTCAATCGGCGGTCTGCAACTACAAAAGATAAAGAGA